CGCAAAACAGTGAATCGCTTGGCAGATGCAGGATGTAATACCAGACCAGTGCAACTGCAAAGTGGACAATGGGCCAATCAGAGTATGTCACCAGGAACTGCTGGAAGGTAGAAGTAGAGTATATAACTATACCCCCAACTATTATTCGAGACTGACCCCTTTTAGGGCTCAAGCCTGCCTGTACCCAGGCACATGCAATAAAATCGTTTTGCTCTACATTGGCCTTGCATTGTGGATGTGATTGCCCGCGGGCTCAGACCTTTTAGTTAGGTTTCCAGGCAGTCAAATGGCACATGCTCAAGATCTGCTGTTTCCCTACCCTGGGACTGAGGAGTTGTTAGGTAGGAGGAAAACATAGTGGAACCTAGATCAGAGAGGTCGGAAGCTAACGAAGGAGATAATTTCTTTTTTTTTTAATCCTCACCCGAGGACATTTTTCCATTTTTCACTCAGATAGAGCGGGAAGGAGAGAGAGGAAGAGAGAGAAACATCGATGTGAAAGGGACACATCGAGTGGCCGCCACCCACACGACCCAACCAAGGCCGGGGACAAACTGCAGCCAAGGTACATGCCCTTAGCGGGAACCGAACCCGGGTCTCTGTGGACCGCAGGTTGACGCTCTAACCGCTGAACCAAACCGGCCAGGGCACGAAGGAGATAATTTCAAGAAGAGGGAGTGTATCTATCTGTCCCAGGATCCAAGGACTCTGATATCACTCAAGAAGTCAGGCAGGCTGCCCTGAATGGTTTTGCTAAGCGGTTAGAGCACCAGCCCAAGGACCTAAGGGTCTGGTCTCAGGTTCGATTCCCGGTCAAGGGCATGAACCTGGTTTGCACGTTAGATCCCCAGCCCCAGTCGGGGTCCTGGGGGATGCAACCAATCAATATGTTTCTTTAACATGAATGTTTCTTGTTCCCCCTTCCTCCCTCCACTTCCACTCTCTCTAAAAACATACCCTGAGGTGAGGATTAACAAAAAAAAGTCAGACAGGCAATATGACTGTCAGTCAACGCCCCATTTTCCCTCCCAGTTAGCTCTGTGCTTGGCAACCAGGAAATTAAATCAGAGAAAATCACAAGGTCCAACCCTGGTGAAAACACTAAAAGGATAACTGGTTACATTGTCCGTAAAACCAGAGGGCTGAGGAGCCTCAGAGCATTAAGTGCAATGTAGGGGCCAAAGTCTTTCCTATTGTTTCACATCTAGTTCTGGCCCTTTGGCCTTCTTCCCCATTTCCCCAACTGGACACCCAGGCAGGGCTAAGTAAAGACTCAGGGTTTGCTTAAAATATAGGCACATGCTGACCAGAGATAGAAAGGTTTTCTAAAGGCAGAGGGACTCCCTAGCCCATGTGGCTCAGTTGGCTGGGCACTATCCTGTGCACTAAAGGTTACTGGTTCAGCCTGGCTGGTGTGGCTCAGTGGTTGAGTGTTGACCCATGCACTAAGAGGTCGCCATTTCGATTCCCAGTCAGGGCACATGCCCAGGTTGTGGGCTCAGTCCCCCGAAGGGGGCATGCAGGAGGTAGATGATCTATGTTCAGCTCTCACGTTGATTTTTTTTTTCCTCTCTCTAAAAATTAATAAAAAATACTTTTTAAAACTATAAAGGTAACCCGGCCGGTGTGGTTTAGCGGATTGAGCATTGTCCCATGGACTAAGAGGTCCCAGTTCAATTCCTAGTCAGGGCACATGCCCTGGTTTCGGACTCGATCCCCAGTAGGGGGCATGCAGGAGGCAACCAATCAATGTTTCCCTCATCACAGATGTTTCTATCTCTCCCTCTCTCTGAAATCAATAATAGATAGAGAGAGAGGTGGAGGGACTGAGGAGAAGTTGTTAGATAGGAGGGGGAAAAAGAAACTTGGCTTGTATAATTTTAAGTCCAGGATTCAAACTATATCATTAGGACCCAATTTCTCTCTCTGTCCCTTGGCTCCACTTCTGTGGTTTCATTCTCAGACAGGTCTTCACCTATCCATGCATTCTTTTCACATTTCTGTCCAGGGGTAGCACTTCCCTCTACCCAACAGAACAAAGTTCTGGGCTTGACTCCCACTGGCCCCAAATGAGTCTAAACCAATTACTATGGCCAGAGGGATGACAGTGCTCAATGGTTTAGCCCTATAGCACCTGTAATTTAAGGATGGAATAGAGCCAACTCCCCCTCCATCAAACACTTTACTAAGAGTACAGAGGAACCAAAAAAATCTGGGGGCTGTTAGTGGAATCAGGGTGAATGAATGCTGAGAAACTCACAACTTGGTCCTTATTTTTCTCATTTTGCTTAAAAGCTTCCTTCCTAGACCAGCAGAGGTCTTCAGTAAGCTTGTAGGAAGGAACCAGTATTAAAATGCAGGCTTCTAACCTTTCCAGGCTATAACTTGAGCTTGGTTTCACAATCGCCCTACCTCCCACGCCGGTGTGACCAGATCCCTATGGGGGAGTGGGAGCAGGTGGAGAAACTGGCTAGTCCCACAGGGTCCATCATTGAACTCCAGGCTGGGATGAGGTCAGTCTACAGGTAGTCTTGGACATTCCTCAGGTGCTGGGATATGGAGGAAGGACCAAAGTTATAAATAGGAGTAGAGAGGTGTATTAATTTCCTATTGGTGCTGTAACATATTACCACAAACTCAGTGTCTTAAAACAATACAAATGTATTATCTTATAGCTCTGGAGGTCAGAAGTCTGAAATGGGTCTCATTGACTAAAATCAAGGTGTTGGCAAGACTGCATTCCTTTCTGGAGGCTCTAGGGAAGAGTCCATGTTTTATTTGTATTTTATTTATTATTTATTTATTTAGCATTTTCCAGCTTCTAAAAGTTGCCTGCATCCCTTGGCTCATGATCCCCTCCATCTTCAAAGCCAGCAGTGTCTGGTCGATTCTCATATTACATCACTCCAACTCTTCTGCCTCCCTCTTCCATGTTTAAGGACCCTTGTGATTACCTTGGATTCACCCATATCATCAAGGTCAGCTAATTAATAATCTTAATATCATTGTAACTTTAATCCCCCCCACCCCTTTGCCATGCAATATATTCACAAATTCCCAGGGATTAGGCCATGGATATCTTGTGGGAAAGAGGGCGAATATAGGAGACCTTCCCAGAGGGTAGCTGGGCTTTGAGGGCTAAGAACCTATGAGAATGGTGGGAGGGGCACTGGTAATGCTGTTTGAGTCAACAGAAGTGGGAAGGAAAGTATGATGGCCTGGCAGCCCTGTAGCTGGGAGAGGGCACCAGCTACCACCCACCCCACTGGAAAAGAAAAAGGTGTTGGTAGTGACCTGTAGCAAGAGAGGACTGGAACTCAAGATGGGGCTCACCCCATCTAGATGAAGCAATCTTTCTGGCTTCCCCCTACTAGCTTCTGGGTTTTAGAATCAGGGTTCAAATCCTACTGTGCTACTTACAGACTGTGACTCTGGGGAAATGGCCTAACTTCTGAGTTTCTGGTTCCTTATTATTATTTATTTAATCCTCACCCGAGGACATTTTTTGATATTTTGTTCAGATAGAGTGGGAGGGAGGGAGAAGGAGAGAGAGAGAGAGAGAGAGAGGGAGAGAGAGACATCGACGTGAAAGGGACACATCTAGCGGCAGCCACCCACAGAACCCAACCAGGGCCAGGGACAAACTGGAACCGAGGCACATGCCCTTGGCGGGAACCAAACCCAGGTCTCTCCAAACCACAGGCCAACGCTCTAACTGCTGAGCCAAACCAGCCAGGGCTATTTTTTCATTTATTTACAGATAGAATGGGAGAGAGGGAGGGAGGGAAGGAGAGGGAGAAACAGAGAGAGAGAAACAGAGAGAGAGAGAGAGAAACTGATGGGAGACACATTGATTGGTTGCCTACCACACAACCCCGACCAGGGCCACGGACAACTGCAACAGTGGTTCATGCCATTGATTGGAATTGAACCCGAGACTCTGGTCAGCAGCTGACGCTCTAACCACTGTGCCAAACTGGCCAGGGTGGTTCCTTATCTATTAAATGAGAATGATATCACCATGTCTGCACACAGCTAATTAGAACTAGAAATTCTTATGTAACATTTTATTTATTTATTTTTTAATCCTCACCCGAGGACATTTTTTTTTGTTCAGGTAGAGTAGGAGGGAGAGAGAGAGAGAGAAACATCGATGTGAAAGGGACACATCGAGTGGCTGCCACCCGCACGACCAACCAGGGCCACCAGCCAGGGCCGGGGACAAACCGCAACCGAGGTACGTGCCCTTAGCGGGAACCGAACCCGGGTCTCTAGGGACCGCAGGCTGATGCTCTAACCGCTGAGCCAAACCAGCCAGGGCCTTATGTAACATTTTAGAGCAGAAAGACCGTGAGATAGCCTGAAAGAAGCCACAGCATGGCCTTGAGACAGACACCAGGTTGGATTTTGCCCTTACCGTAAATGGTTGTGTGAGTCTGAGCAAGTTGTGGTGAGGGCATCACTGAGCACAGGGCTCAACATCTTTGGTACAACCAGCAGGCTCATTCAGTGTAGACTAAGGCTAGCTGGCTCCTGGCCAGCTCAAGGTGTTTCCCTTTGCCTGGAAACGGGGAGGTGTGGCTGAGGCAGGACTTGGAGAGAAGCAGCTCAACTAAAAAGTGGTGGAGAGGAGCCCCCGCACTGGATTTCTCTGGCTCCCCCAAATGCCAAGGACCAACTCCCCCCTGCTGAAGAAGATAAGTGAGTGGAAGGGCTGAGGGCTTGAAAAGGAACTGGGTCCTTATTGTGTGCTGGGAGGTTAGGGATCTGGCCCAACCCTGGGACAGGAGGTGAGGTAGGAGCAAGAACCTTAGGAAGGGCTCCCAAAAGCCAGGAGGTAAGCTTGGCCTCACGCTATGAACCAGAGCCCTAGATTAGTAGGTCCCAGGGCCGGGCGGTATTAATAAGAACACAGTGTATCCACACACACCCCACTACAGGTCTGAACCAAGACCAGGACCCGGCCCCAGTAAAAATGCCTGCCGCCTGAGCTTCCGATCATGTACACATACAGTTGCCTGGTGCCGGGGGAAGGCGGCTGGCCTCCACTGCAGCCCCTCACCTACACCTACCTGCCTGGTCCCCTACTGCTGCCCCCCATCCAGGCCCACAGCTTCTGCAGTCAGCCTCCAGTCCTGAGCACCGGCGACTGGATGGTGTCGCGGGAATACCACTGTTTCCACAGCCCGGGCGTCTCCCTGGGAGCCGCGCCACCCTGGTGGGCCTTCCCGCAGGCTTACGCCGCAGCCCTGTGCCCAACGTTCCCAGCGCCTGGCTACCCCGGGCCTTCCCTGCAGGCGCCCGCGGAGGCGGAGGCGGGGACCGCGGCGGCCGAGAACGGTACGCCTTGGCCGGAGGGCAGCAGCCTGCAGGCTGAGCTGCGCTGGGGCCTCGTGGAGCGCGCGCTGGGCCCGCGCCTAGACCTGCCGGACTCTGTGCGCCGGGAGCTGCGGCGCGCCTACGGCACGTACCCGCACACTGACGTGCGCATCACTTTCCGCGGCGGCCAGTTCCTGGTGCAGGCTGCTCCGCGCGTCGGCGAGCCGCAGTACCGCGTGCATAGGCGCCTGCTGCGCCCGTCCTCCAGCAGCAGGGGCGGGGGCAGCAGCAGCGGGGGCGGCGGCAGCAGCACCGCCAGGGAAGCGGCAGGACACGGCCACCGGAAGAAGAGGAATGGCCTGGGCTGAGGGCGCCTCAGGGCCGGAGGCTGGCCCGGGGGAGCGCTCGAGTGGTTCTCCTCCCAGGCGAGGAGAGAGACCTCAGTTTTGTGTGGGGTCTGGGTGCACCTGTCATCTGTCTTTGCTTTTTTACCAAGACTGCCTGCTGCCCACCTCCTGCACGTCTTGATTTCTCTCGTGTTATTGCTGGATGGTGGGGGAAAGGCGAGAAGGGATCTAGGACATCCCTGGGTGGGTGAGTGTCCTGTTACTCTGTCCTTTCTCTTGGGCTGGGGAAGCCTAGGTGTAGGTGAAAGAAGGGCTTGGACCCTTTGTTTCCTCTCTCCCTCCTCTTCCCCATCTCTTCCCTTTAGAAGCCTTCCCCTTTCTCTTCTCCCTCTAGCAAAGTTCCCCGAATTTCCCAAAGTGGGGGGCCCACCTATCTAGAGCTTGTAATGAAGTCAATAAATAAGCGAAATGTATACTGGGAGATCATTTTTATATTTGGGAGTGGGGGTATTTCCTCATCTGTGTAATGTGAGCCTTAGTTCCCTGCCTGGGGCTCAAGGAGCTGAGAGGGATTAGAGTGGATCTCTGAAAAAAATGTGCCTCCTCACTGGCTATGCCTACTCCCCTCTTCACTCGCCTGCACACCCTCCTAGGTCCTCCAACCCACCACCCACAGAGATTCTGAGGGCATAAGCCCTTGTTGAAGCATAGGTATTAGGCATGGCTGGAGAAGGGTCCTCTAAGAAATACAGAGCTGGGCCCTGGCCGGTTTGTCTCAGCGGTTGGAGCGTCCACCTGCGGTCTGGAGAGACCCTTGTGCGTTCAGTTCCCGCTAAGGCACGTACCTCGGTTGCAGTTTTTCCCCCCGGCCCTGGTTGGTCGTGCGGGTTGGCAGCCACTCGATGTGTCCCTTTCACATCGATGTTTCCCTCCCTCTCCCTCCCACTCTATCTGTACAAAAAATGGAAAAAAGTCCTCGGGTGAGGATAAAAAAAATACAGAGCTGGCGCTGACATTTTCTAGTCATATAACTAGGCTCTCTGAGCCTTCGTTTCTTTGTCTGTAAAAGAAGCATAAAACCAACTCATCCTACCTGGAAAATTCACTAGGGTTGAAATTTCAAATGAATGTCACTTCTTGTCTCCTGATTCTTGCTAATAGTATTTAATAGGTTGAATTTGCAATAACTGTGGGAGTTTGCTGGAGAGTTAGGCCACACATCCAATTTAAACTATAGGTCTAGCCAGACCACCTTATCTGATACACAGGCCTTTATAAATTTGGTTCCTTGTGGAATTGCTTTTACTGAACTTTCATTTGTAAGTGGCCAACAGCTACGGGGGTATACAGCTATGCTATTGAAGCTGTAGACCATTTGATTGAACCTGCTGTGTTCATGAGCTTCATGGAAAAGTTCTCTCAAACTTCAGCACTTGGGAAAGGCGTTTCTCATGGTAATTTTTTTGTTTGTTTGTTTTGTTTTTTAAATCTTTGAAGCACCAAGGATTTCATAACTGATCATATTTTTCTCTCTGCCCTCGTTTCTAGGGAGCTCAGAGCCAAATTTGCTTAGCATCTTTAGTGCAAAGTCTGATCCTAAATTGTTCCCCTAGTTTCATCTTATTTTGCTTTCCTTTTTTTAAATTATAAAAACACAGGAAGGTGTAGTGTGATGGGTCAGCTATGTGACCTTAGGTGAATTATTTAATGTTCCGGAACCAATTTTATCATTGCAAAGGAACCTGCAGCCCTTTGGTGCGTGGACCAACACTCTAACCACTGACCCACACTGGCCAGGGTTGATTGTTGTTGTTGTTGTTTTGGTTTTTTTTATCCTCACCGAGGACATTTTTTTCCCATTTTTTTTCAGATAGGGAGGGAGGGAGGGAGAGAGAGAGAGAGAGAGAGAAACATCAACATGAAAGGGACACATAGAGTGGCTGCCACCCGCACAACCAACCAGGGCCAGGGACAAACTGCAACCCAGGTACGTGCCCTTAGCAGGAACCGAACGCAGGTCTCTCTGGATCGCAGGCCAACACTCTAACTGCTGAGCCAAACCGGCCAGGGCTGATTGTTTTTGTTTTTGTTTTTTGTTGTTGTTTTTTTTATCCTCACCCGGGGACATTTTTCCATTTTTTGTTCAGATAGAGCGGGAGGGAGAGAGAGAAAGAGAGAGAGAGAGAAACATCAATGTGAAGGGACACATCGAGTGGCTGCCACCCGCACGACCAACCAGGGCAGGGGACAAACTGCAACCGAGGTACATGCCCTTAGTGGGAACCGAACCCGGGTCTCTCCGGATCGCAGGCCAACACTCTAACTGCTGAGCCAAACCGGCCAGGGCTGATTGTTTTTTTAATTAAAGTTTGCAATGCAGAAATATAGAATATAGGAAATTAAAATCTTTAATAATATCTCTCACTCCCAAATGATCATAGGAAAATGCAAGTGGAGTAGTGGAACTTAACTAGAATAAGGTAATCAGGGAAGGCTTCTCTGAGAAGGTGACATTTAAGCTGAGATCTACAGAGTATGAAGAAGCTAGCCATGCAAACAGAAGGGTGAGGGGGAAGCCAGGCAGAGGGCATGGTGGGTGCTAGAGCCCCAAGGAGTGAAAGTTATCTTCATTCACTCAACAGGCATTTGAGAGCCTACAATATGCCAGGCAGCATTACAGGGGCTAGCCCTGGCCAGTTTGGCTCAGCGGTTAGAGCGTTGACCTGCGGTCTACAGAGACCCGGGTTCGGTTCCCGCTAAGGGCATGTACTTCGGCTGCAGTTTGTCCCCGGCCCTGGTCAGGTCGTGCGGGTGGTGGCCACTCGATGTGTCCCTTTCACGTCGATGTTTCTCTCTCTCTCTTCCTCTCTCTCCCTCCCACTCTATCTGAACAAAATATCGAAAAATGTCCTCGGGTGATGATTAAAAAAAAAGAAAGACAGGGGCTAGAAGAGAAAAGTAAATAAGTCCTTGCCCTCATAGAGCTTACTTTAGAGAGAGAGAGAAGCATTGATGTGAGAGTGGGACATCAATCAGCTGCCTCCTACATGCCCCCCACCAAGTATCAAGCCCCCTAACCAGGCATGTGCCCAACCAACTGACCCACACTGGCCAACTGACCCACACTGGCCAGGGCTGAAAAAGTGACTCTTGAGTGGACACAAAGAACTTTACAAGTCATTTGACTACCTGGGGGAGAAAAGCAGGTGCAACAACTCTGTGGCTGCAATGTTCTCTCCTGTGAGTGAGTAAAAAAGTGGTAATGAGCCCTGGCTGATTTGGCTCAGTGGTTAGAGTGTCAGCCTGCAGACCAATGAGTCCCAGGTTTGGTTCCAGTCAAGGGCAGTACCTCAGTTGCAGTTCGTCCCTGGCCCTGGTCAGGGTCCTGTGGGAGGCAACCAGTCAATGTGTCTCTTTCACATTGGTGTTTCTCTCTCTCTCCCTCCCCCCGTCTTTCCTTCTCTCCTTCTCTCCCTCCCTCCCACTCTATCTAAAGGTAAATAGAAAAATATCCTTGGGTGCAGATTAAAAACAAAGGTAACGAGTTAGAGATGAAACTAGATCCTGTGGCACCTTGAACCACGTTGAGAAGTTGGGACTTTATTCTTAGGGGGAGAAGGGTTATAAGCAGGAGAGAACGTGATTGAACTTTAAAAAAATTATTCTGAATGTTGTATGAAAAGAGACCATAGAGGGGCCATTGTAGAAATAGGGAGACCAGTCCAACCAGTGTGGCTCAGTGGTTGAACGTGGACCCATGCACCAACAGGTCGCCAGTTCATTTCCTGGTTGGGGCACATGCCCAGGTTGTGGGCCCAATCCCCAGTGGGGCATGTAGGAGACAGCCAATCGATGTTCTCTCTCATCAATGTTTCTATCTCTCTCTCCCTTCCTCTCTCTCTAAAGTCAATAAAGAAAAATAAAATAAAATAAAAATGACTTGTTCTATTGAAAGAAAGAAAGAAAGAGAAAGAAAGAAAGAAAGAGACAAAGAAAGAAAGAAAGAGACGAAGAAAGAAAGAGACGAAGAAAATAGGGAGACCAGTTAGGAGGCTTTTGAAGTAATACAAGCCAAATAACGTGATGGTGTGATCATATTTGGAAGTAGTAAGGGTGATGAGAAAACAAATATCCTTGAATATTCAACTTTGTTCACAAACACAAGTGTTAAATTATAGATTATAAAGTATTAGAATTAGAAATCAACTCATTGAACAATGACACTTTAGTAGCAACAAGCATAGCCAGCTCCCAGATCTCTGGTTCTAAATTCCATTCTCCACTAAAAGGATCCAAGCCCCTTGGAAAATGGCTCATTCCAAGGCTGTGGCAAAGAATGTAGAAGATGAGCCTGGAACACTTGTGCCAGAAAATAAAGGACTACGCAAAATTGTCAAAAGGCCTGGCTAGTGTGGCTCAGTGGATTGAGCATCGTCCCATGGACTGAGAGGTCAGAGTTCAATTCCCAGTCAGGGCACATGCTTGGGTTTCTGGTTCGATCCCCAGTGGGGGTGTGTGCAGGAGGCGGTCGACTGATCGATGTTTCTCACATCAGTGTTTCTATCTCTCCCTTCCTCTCTCTCTAAAAAAAATCAGTAAAAACATATTTTAAACAAATGTCAAAAGAACAAAGGAGCCAGTTTGAAGGGACTTCCACTAGCCAAATCAGAGACACTTTAAGCATCAAAACAAATAATCACAGGAATAGATGATAACCTGAATAAAATAATGATGCATAAGTCTATACTAATATTATCTAAATAAATAAATATGAAAGAAAAGCTCTTCCTGCCTGGCCGGTGTGGCTCAGTGGTTGAGCATCACCCCATGCACCAAGAGGTCACCTATTCAATTCCCCATCAGGGCACATGCCCAGGCTGTGGGCCAAAGCCCCAGTGGGGGGCATGCAGGAGGCAGCCAATCGATGTTCTCTGTCATGAATGTTTTTATCTCTCTCTCCCTCTCCCTTCTTCTCTCTCTAAAAAATCAATAAAGAAAAAAAATATTTTTAAAGAAAAGCT